AACTGGACAGCATTCAGAAAGCAGTGATTCTTGGAACCTGTAGTATTGTCCGGCGGTTTCTGAATCATCATAACTGATCCGACTGAAGCAAACAAATTAGGACGAGAACTGAAAAATGAGATCCACAGAGCCTAACGCCCTCGGCATAAAGACAAATCAGTCGAGTGGAGCTATATGGTATACAACTTTGATATGCAGTTTCATCCAGGCGATGATTCGGGGTAATTAACGGGGTTTGGTGATTTTTCTTTGCTCTGGGATTACTTCATTGTTTTTTTTTTCTTTTCCTTTCGTTTCGATTTGGATTTCGTCATCAGCATACGTGCAGCTTTTTTTCTCTTCTTGCAGTTTTTCCTTTTGCTTCGTCCGCTCTTGCAGTTTCATCAGCTTGGCCATAGCCTGGATTTCTTTCTCCTTCTGTTTTAACTCAGCATTCTCCTTTCTCTCTTCAAGCTTTTTACGTTTTGTCATTTCACTTAATTTCTTCGCAGCTTCTTCTTCCTGATACATCAAGTGCCAAGACTCACTTGTGGCTACTGCTGGAACCACTCGATGCCTGCGTTTCCCCAGAGTAGATGGGTTCCTTGGATACACAGCTACACATAGCGGATTCAATCTCCCTTCTGCTGCAAATTATTTAGTTTCAATGTGTCCACTGATTCCACAGCTTCCGTGTTGAGTGTTTGTTGATCTGTTGTAGGGAAATATATTAAAATTTATTAATAAGTGTAGAGTGACGTTTCATACCGAATAATTAAGGTCCAAACTGACATCGTTGGAGCTCGAAGTCATACCGCTCTCCTCTGGATATATTGCTGCAATAAAGATACAAAAATGGTATCAACAGCGCACATAAAAAATGCTACACTAATTTATTTCACAAAAAAATATATTGGTCTCCTTCTGGTACATAGCTGATGTTAAGGCCAATCAGAGTTGTATCGATTTCAAGGAAAGCTGGTGGTCCTTCAACTTCATCAGATACTCTCCTCTACAAATCAAAAAGCTGAATTGCCGCCAGTCCACAACAAGTTTCTACTCTGTTCCTTGAAAGCTAGAAGCAGCTCTGGTGACAGTCGGCGGTTCAACTCGCGAAGAAATATGCACATCCCACTCCTTCTCTAAAAAAAAATGGTATCTTCTAATATAAAATCCGGAGAATGTTTTGAACAGTCTATTTTAATAAAAAAAAAACTTCAATAGTTAGAGGCTATTGTTAATTATTAGGTGAGTGAAAAGTAATGTTATCTTTTTTTAACTGATGTGGTTTTTCCACCGTGTTTTGTCTGAACTTTTATCATGATTCATTCTTGCGCTAATTATCGCATTATAGTTACTACAATACTTTATACAATTCATGAAAATAATATTACATGGCTCCACTGAGCACATGAATGATTTTTATGACTCATATTACATATTTCGTAGCACACAATATCACATTAGCCTCAAAACATCAGCCTTATTAAGAACAACAAAGTTCTGAATTTTACTGGTGATGTAAACATTCAAGCATGCAAACATTTATGCATGCAAACTTCCTTTTAACGTAAACCAGCATCTTACTGGTAATGTTTTTTTTTACAAAGATGGACGGTTACACACAATTTATGGATTATCTCATGACATGTATCATAAATATATGCGATCTATAATGTAAACTTGTAGAATTTTCAATTAGACTGGATAACTTGAATTTCCAGCATCTGACCGTTCTATTAACATTATTTTCAATGGATATAGTTTTTGTAAACAACAATAAGAATATGATAATATCCGCAACAATCAAGTTGATCCTTAGTTGCTTTAGCTTAAATATAGTTGATCAATTAGCACAACACTTACCATTTAGGATTAAAACGTTCAAATCATACACATTCATGTGTACCTCAAGAGCTCTTCTATCTACGGGAGATTACATTGTACATTTTAAGTAACTACACAACAATTTTTTTAGCTTAAGCTTTCCTTCGTAATCTTCTTTTAAGTGTGTCATTATCAGCTTTCGTTTAACAAAAATCAACAATTTAAATCTTAGGCACGCAATCATTCACCTATGAGTTGTTTTTTTTTGCACAATAATATCATAGAGGTAACTCTAAGACCACTGGGTCCCGAAGAAAATCATTATTATTTTTGGCTCACTCAGTACCAGAACAACGGTCCCAAGCAGTCCCAAGCTATTTCACTCACCCCTGCATGTTCTGCATGAATCCATACACCCCTGATGTTATCTGTCAAACTTTCATAGCGAATCAAAACAAACATAGTGTAGTAATAGAATTTCAACTAGAATAGGGTACGTTAATCGTTTGCTTGGGACCAATAGGCTACTAAAGTGGTGAGCCAATTTAAAATTGTTAGTTTCGTATTGATTGTTGATAATATTTCTATCGATCCCATAGACATTCAGCTCGATTTTTAAATCAAGATTTATTAATTTATTTTTTTTTTAATTTTTGGCACTAATTCTATTAATGGACAGTTCGCTCTCATACAAAGTCCTACCAAGGAGTGCTTGGATGGTGATTTTTTTGGTGTTGTGAATGTGAGTGCGTGATAATAAATGAGAATCTCAAGGAATGCTCAATACATGAGATTTCAGAATGATTTTTACACTCTAGTTAATTTTTGTTTTCCGTCGATCTTGTTTTCCGTACTGAGTACCAATGCTACCGACGCCAGGAGGCAGCTCCCACACCTGGACCCTACCTATAGACCCATCAACTCATGAACCGGGGATCAACAAGTTTACTTCCCTTCCCGAAGGAAGGCGTGAACCGAGATTGTATGCTTCAGAAAATCCCGGCGGTGGCAGAGAGACAATCACGCTTACCACTACACCACCGACGCCGTTAGTTAAATATTTGGTTACGTATGATCTTAAATGTTCAGCTTAAGGTAACGCCGGATGTATAGCAACTCATAAGTTAAATGACACGGTGACCATCATTTTTCGTCGGCTCGTGTAGGAACCGGCTCGCTCAGTTTAACCCGACAGAATCACCCGATTAGCCACCTTGCAACCACCAGTGGCCATCATTGACCATTTCTACTGATCCTCGACCAATCCCGGTTCTTGCGGTCAGTTAAACGGACATATGTATCACCTTTTGAAATTGTATTACTACCACTCGATACAGTACATCTATTGCATCTGTAGCCACCCGGTATTCTCCTCCGCTGGTCTGCTCAACGTTCATACGAGATCCATAGATGAATAGAGTAGTCTGTTTCTCCACCCGTCTAGATCGTGGTGAACACCATCCGTCGGCCACGACGTTTATCTATGGTGTCTACCGTGAATGATGCAACAGAAGTTAAGATTATCATGATAAACTATAGTTTTTTTTTATATCATTTATCATCCAATCTTCCTACGGATCTCACACCGCAACGACAGATTTTTTCTCAGTGGTCATTCCAGCGCACTATCAAATCTTCCTGCAGGTGACTTACACCGTTACCACAGATTCCTTTTCCAAGTGGCCGTCCCAGCTCACTATCAAATCTTCCTGCGAGTTTTTTTTTTTCACTCCGCAGCGACAGATTTCTTTTCCAAGTGGCCGTCCCAGGATTTTTTAAAATTTGTTCATGCTAGTCACTGATTTTTATGCACTATAATGGTAAGCTTTTTTGTCTATATAGTTCTATTTTTGTCAAGCGTGGCAAAACAAAACAAAATCAGGAAATATTTTGTTTTCGAAGCAGAAAAAAATGGTCTAGATTAATATTTTATTCGATACTGTTTTGCCTTACCTTAAACAGTGACCTTAAGGAGTAAATCGATAGTAAATGGAATTCAGTTTAATTGCATTTTAACTTTATTTAAACAGATTCATTGCATGCGTTCATACTTGTCTTGTGGTGTGCGTCCCACAGCACCATCAATGATCAATCATCGGTAACGTCGTGAGATCTTGATCCGTCCCGGATCCTCCTCTTCTTTTCAAACATGCATTCGTCCCGAAGCACTTTTAGATAGTGAGAGAGTAATTGTTGTCTCGACACGAAAACCAGAAGAAAACAAAATGGCCACCTTGTTTTTTTTTTTTTAATGGCCCGTTACTGCTATTCAAAAGAATTTACGCGTTACTGAATTTCCAATATCGTGTTCGTCCCGAAACACCTATCTATGATAAATATCAATGCGAAAGAATCTTCAAGATCCGGCAAACTTCTAGGTAAACTTTAACAAACACTATCACGCTACGACCAAATGCTGGTTTTTCTTAAAATCATTTTTTTTCTTCTTTGTGTTCGTCCCGAGACACTCGGAAGGAAAATAAAATGGCCGTCCCGGAACAGTTTTCTGACTTGTCGCTTCAAAAATACTTCCAGCGTGCGTCCCGCTACGCCGATGATTTACTAATTCCGCGTTCGTCTCGAAACTCTTCCAGTTTTGGTGGGAAAGGTACTCGTCCCGAATACCTCCATTGATTTTCGCATGGAGCAGGCGGCGATGAAAAAAGGAAAAAATTGGCTTACCTCACTGGATTGCAGAGATTAAAATATAAAAACAAAAACTTCCAGTTGCACTATCCGACACTTTTTTTTCTAAGCACTCACAAATTGTCAGCTTTCTGTCTGTTTTCCTGTGATGGGCGATTCCCGGGTGGTTAAAACTGTAGGTTCTATCGAACTTTAAGGCAAAATAAGAATAATTATGGCAGGATCGCCACTGTGGAATCCCGGATTGCCACCGGAAGAAATCGCCCAGCCCAGGAGGCAGACTGACGCACGACTTATAGTGAATTTGTTTATTCCCAGGTTGAAACTAGTTTTGCACCAGTTTCAACCTAACTGCTGTCAAAACGTTTTTTTATTCTCTTGGGTTCAACCTAGTTCCGCACTAGTTTCAACTCAAAAAGTACTAGTTTCGCACTGTGCTATTTTACGGTTTAGCGATTGGGTTCACCAATACAACTGCATCCAACTGTCAAATTGTGTTTTGTTTTGGATCGTGTAATCGTAAATAAACTTTTGCGAATAAAAAAAAAATGCAAAACGTTGCTATCGCTCTTGCAGCTTCCGCTGTCCAATTATTGGAATCGGAAACGGAAACCGATTCGGATTCCGATTTTGAGGATCACATTCTGATGACCATTAACAAAAGAAAGCGGGTCGAGAATTTCGTCAGCGATGTAGTGGAGAATCTCTCGGAGGAGGAGGTAATATTCATGTATGAGAATAATTAAAACAGATTTTCATTGATGAACTCATGTTTCTTTCTAGTTCCGACGTCACTTCCGGCTCTACAAATCCACAGCCGAAACGATCATCAGACGATACGCAGAGTCCGAATTTTATCGATCGAATACCGGTATTGGACGCAGGAATGTTTCGGCAAATGATCAAATGTGTGCTTTCTTATGGTACGCATTTCGGCTATTGACTGATTTTCTGTGGTTTTAGAGTACTTTCTTGGAGTTTCTATAATTTTTCTCAATTTTTTTTCTGAAGTTCAAAGAAGATTTCTGTAGTTCGCAAAATTTTTCTGGAGTTTGCAGTAGGGGAGAGAACTACCTCGAGCTAATCTTGGTCTATAGAGCAGAAAACATCAAATAAATCCATGATTTAAGCGTTAATAACGTCTTTTACCCCAAAAGACGTCCTTCGTAAGGGAAGTAAAGCCGTTGGACCCCGGTCTATGAGTGTAGGAGTGCCTCCCTGGCGTCGTTAGCATTGGTACTCAGTCAATCATGTGTTTGGTACGATGCTGTAATTTGCAGAATTGTTCTGAAGTTCGCAGAATTCCCCTGAGGCTCCATGAGTTTTTGTTTTTGTTTGCAAATTTCAGAAAATTTCGGTGAACTTCAGAAAAAAATCAGAAAAAATCTGAGTACTCAAAAAAAAAAAAATTTGAGTTCATCAGGAAAGTTGTGTGAACTTTAGGAAAACTTTGCAGAACATAAGAAAATTTTACAAACCTTGAGAAAGTTTTCTGAGCTTCGAAAAAATCATATCATTTCATAATATATTTTTCTCACTTTTTTCTTTTTCTTTCTAGGTTTTGTGCAAACAAGAATTCTTACCGAGAGATTGGTACTTTATTTAATATGTCCGAAACGTCCTTCTACAAATGCCTCAATAAAATCTTGGACTTTTTTTATAATCTGTCCAAGGAGATTATTCGCTTTCCGGAGACAGAGGCCGAAATGGAAAAAATCGTTACAGGATTCAAAAGTGTTAGTTAAAATTGAATAATGTTTTGAAAGTATCAAATATTCAAATTATTTACAGATTGCTGGTTTTCCTGATGTTATAGGCTGTATTGACGGTAGCTACATCGCAATTCGAAAACCTGCCAATAAAATCAGGTCCACCTACATCAACCGGCACGATATGCTATCGATGACTCTTCAAGGAGTCTGTGATCCTAACAGAAGATTTCTTGATGTTTGTGTTGGGTCACCAAGTCGAATCCACGATTCAAGAGTGTTTTCATTGTCACCGATCAGCGATGATCTACCAGGTATATGTCAGGGAAGATATCATCTTCTCGGTGATGCTGCGTACCCGGTCCGGGAGTATTTGTTGATTCCGTACAAGGACTACGGTAACTTGACGATTAAGCAGAGGAATTATAATCGGAAGCACTGTCAAACTCGGGTCAGAATAGAAAATAGCTTCGGAGTGCTGAAGCAACGATTCCGCCAGTTAACACGGCTGGATTTTTTTCACGTGGAACGAATGTGCAAATTTGTTATCGCATGTTGCACTTTGCACAATATGTGCATTGATCAAAATGATCATTATGAGGAAGATGAGGATCCTGATGAAATTAACGACGAAACAAGAGGTAATGTGCCAAACAATTTACCAACTGGATCTCAGTCTTCAAGGAATGCCACCTTGCGTAGGCTAGGCGAGTTAAAAAGAACTGAAATATCTGAAAATTTAATGTAAATAAAGTTAAATAGAGATACTTTTTGACAACAAATGTTTAAATATTTACTTTCAATGCAACTCATGTGATTGGGAAAAATCTTCGCTTCTGATAAAACATGGGTTCACTTTGGAAAACTTTCTAGTCATCTGCAGTAGAAGAATTCCATTTTTCGTATTAATTGGCTCAAAAAAATGAAGTCAAGTGCGGTCAAATTGGGCCAATACCTTATACTGAATCGTACATTTTCAACCGATTCGAAGTATTTTACTTTCTTCAAGAGTTAACAAACTTGCCGGAATTATTTAAAAAATCTAAAGTGGATTCAATGCTAAGGATTCGTGCACACATTACGTAACACATAGAGGAGGGGTAGTGGTGTCGAGTTTAAGTAACATATTGTTACATAGAGGGAGTTTGGTAATGGGAACCGGGTACGGTTGCTGATTTTTTTTTAAATTCAATCTTGAAAAAAATGAGTGGGGTGACATTACGTAATTTAAGGGAAGCATTAAGCGTTGCTTATTGTTACATAAGCGAAGTATCAAAACCCAGATTTATTGGGCCGTATGAATAAAAAAGAGTTTAATTTACTTTCCCGTCCCAACAAACAATTTGATTTGTTCAACAGCTGAATACCCGCATAAACGCGAACCATAAATTGACCTTACCGATAATGGTTATAAATTGTTTATAATCCCTCCTTAACTTTAACTGAAATGGTTTTGGAACCTTACATGAACGTTTGTGTGATAAAGTTTTAACCTTATGTATTATGGTTTTTAGGAAGCGGACCTTACAAATAATAAGTTTTTAAGAACCATTACCTTTTCAAATTCTTGTTTTCTCCATACATTTTCGGAAAGAGAACTATATTAGAACGTTTTTACTTATGGTTTGAGAACATTAATGGTTATGGTTATGGTAGTCAGTAAGGCCCATGAATGGTTTTGTAACATCGATCAACTTTATGAGGAATATATCGCGAATTGGTTGCCTGTAAATTAATAATTATCAGTTCGCGATATATTCCACGTAAAGTTGAGCGATAATACAAAACGATTAATGGACCTTACTGACTAGTATAACCATAATCATTAATGTTTTTTTTTTAACTAGTATGTTTATTTGGAAGGCTCAATCGCGTTAGCTTTACGGAGCCGATAGTTCATTGTTCTTTGTTTGTAACAAAATTCACTTAATTCTATGTCTAGTAGGAGTTGGGCCGAATACTCGTGGCTTACTCGAGGTTAGAGAGGTACATTGTCGAAGGATAGGATCAGGGGAGGAGCTTGGGGGTAAGGTTTCGTTGTCTCGTCAGAGCGTTGTCGCCAGTATGAATGGTAGTGCGGTTCTAGTTTCGTCTGGAGTTCGACCGGCTATGGTGGGTGACCAGTGGGCGACGATGAGACTCATCGAGACGAGGGGACAAGACAAACAAAAACTAATAAAGAGAGACAAAATACAAAGGAATTAAATTCTTATACTAGACATTTGAAGAAATACATAAACCGACTGCATATAGCAGATATCGCGAGTTCCCAACACGTCTCTGATAGGAACATAGGGTTGTCTTCCTTGGGCCTCAAGGGTATTCAAAAGTCGCTCTCTGGCGGCGTAATTATCCGTACATTGCCAAACTGCATGATCGATGTCATCGTAACCGTTTCCACACCGACAGATGTTGCTGTCCACGAGGTTTATTCTATTGAGATGAGCATCTAGCGAGTAGTGGTTGGACATAAGTCTACTCATCACGCGAATGAAGTCACGACTTAAGTCCAAGCCTTTAAACCACGCTCTCGAAGAAACATTAGGAATAATTGAATGTAACCACCGTCCAAGATTTCCATTGTCCCAATCGGTTTGCCAACTCGGAAGGGTACTCTGACGCACTAAATGGTAAAATTCATCGTGTGAAATTTTCCTGTCATAAAATTCGCCTTCCTGCGCACCCACCTTTGCGAGAGAGTCCGCCTTCTCATTGCCTGGGATTGAGCAATGTGAGGGGACCCATACAAAGGTAATCATATATGATCTTTCGACCAGTACACTCATCTGCTCCCTTACCTTTGAAAGGAAATAAGATGAGTGCCTACCTGGTTTCATCGACCGAATCATTAATGTTCTCAAACCATAAGTAAAAACGTTCTAATATAGTTCTCTTTCCGAAAATGTATGGAGAAAACAAGAATTTGAAATGGTAATGGTTCTTAACGACCCATTATTTGTAAGGTCCGCTTCCTAAAAACCACATAAGGTTAAAACTTTATCACACAAACGTTCATGTAAGGTTCCAAAACCATTTCAGTTAAAGTTTAGGAGGGATTATAAACAATTTATAACCATTATCGGTAAGGTCAAGTGATGGTTTGCGTTTATGCAGGTAAGCTATTGTTTAGCTGAAGAAGCTTGTTTTTGCCTGAATAAGCTCTTATTAAACATTCAATGTTTGTTGGGGTGCTTTTCTTACGGTAAAAGTAAAGTAAACACTTTTATTCATACGACCTATTGCTTTAAGTAATTTGTGTATCGCGCCTAACCTAACATTTCTGAATTGCTTTTTACATTTTCAACTGTTATCAACAATTTCTAACAACATGTGCCCTACTACAGATTTCCCTCGGTATATAACAGTGGTTCCAGATTGGCCAATGAGACCAATGATCTATCCTGAGCTGTAGATAGTCTGTTCATGTAAATATATTTTAAGGCTGTGTACCATTTGGTGAATTTTCACTTAATTTTGACAGATGGAAAATTTTCAAATAAACCTGCTTTTGTACCAGACTTATTTCTGACAGACCAGTAATTAATTTTGACAAACACCTTCTCGAAAATCGGCAGATCAACAACGGAGGAATCTTCGAACATTATAATTTATTTTTGAAGTGTCAAATTTAAGTGAAAATTTACCAAATGGAACACAGCCTAATACCAACAATCAATACGAAACTAACGATTTTAAATTGGCTCACCACTTTAGTAGCCTATTGGTCCCAAGCAAACGATTAACGTACCCCATTCTAGTTGAAATTCTATTACTACACTATGTTTGTTTTGATTCGCTATGAAAGTTTGACAGATAACATCAGGGGTGTGTGGATTCATGCAGAACATGCAGGGGTGAGTGAAATAGCTTGGGACTGCTTGGGACCGTTGTTCTGGTACTGAATGAGCCAAAAATAAAAATGATTTTCTTCGGGACCCAGTGGTCTTAGAGTTACCTCTATGCTAATACCATAGAGGTAACTCTAAGACCACTGGGTCCCGAAGAAAATCATTATTATTTTTTGCTCACTCAGTACCAGAACAACGGTCCCAAGCAGTCCCAAGCTATTTCACTCACCCCTGCATGTTCTGCATGAATCCACACACCCCTGATGTTATCTGTCAAACTTTCATAGCGAATCAAAACAAACATAGTGTAGTAATAGAATTTCAACTAGAATGGGGTACGCCATAGAAGTACTTGGGACCAATAGGCTACTCAAGCAGTGAATCAATTTAAAATCGTTAGTTTCCACCCCTGCTAATACCCCGTTCACATTACAGCGTATATCACGTGATATACGTTGTCTTGCAATGAGCACTCGTAAATCTAGTTTTCACTGGAAATCCTATGTATGAGTGCTCATACGCCTTTTTAATGCACCACCAACGTAGAGTGCGCCACGCGAGTTCGAGAAGAAACGTCAACCAAACCGTTTGTTTACATCAGAATAAGTATTTTCCCCAACGCAAATAACAGCATTTTTCATTCAAAATCTTGCCAATTTCCATCGGCAATTGTCTTATTGAACGGTATTCCACAAATCTGAACTGATTTGTACCTTAACTATTCACACACAAGAAATCCGGAAGATCATAACCACTAAGGCACTTTTCTAACTTTTCTAATGTTTCATTTTTCTCAATAAAAATATTCCTGAACAGCAGCAGGATCTTTTCCAAAACGTGACAGAATTAAATTTTTCAACTATACATTAAGTTTTGCAGCATCTCAGATGAATTAATTTATCAGGAAAAGTAAAAAAGTGTTCCGCTTCCTATGTCTCAAGGCAAACATTTATGCTCACAACACTCTTTTTGACGTTCTCCTATTCACCACCAGAGGTTGAATCGATCGTTCAGTTTCTATTAAAAAGGCCTATTGCAAGACAGCCTATATTACGCGATATAGGCTGTAATGTGAACGGGGTATAAGTATAAAATGTGAATATAATTTTTGAAATTTTATTTAAAACCAAACTGACAAATGACCAACACATTAAAACATTATAACTAAATTTTCTTTGTTAGTTCTTCCAAAATATTATTCAAGCGATCAAATCGTTCCATTTTCTCACGATGTTGGCTTGCTTTTTCTCTGCTTCTTTCCTCTTTCCTCTCGCATTCGGTTCTATAGGCCTCCAGCAGTTGGGTGGCAGCATTCTCGCTGCAACTCCTTTTACGCAGTGGAACTGATGAAGAATGATCCGAAGCATCCGCTGAATTTTCTCCAATCGATGTTTCCGTTTCTGCTGGGCGCTTCTTACGCCTTATGAATGTCGGGGTCATTATTACTTCTGGCTCCAGAGAGTCATCGACAGAAGCAATTTCATTCATTGCCTTATCATATGGCGTTACAATTATCGAGCTTCCGGATGTACGGTTGTTTTTCATTGCATCCTTGGTTTTTTTAGATACATTTTTGTATCTATTCTCAACTTGCACAGCTGAAAACGACACGCCTAGTTCTTTGCGAATTTCATCAGCAATATTCTCCCACATCTGCTTTTTATTTTTAAATTTTTTTAACGGTCCAACATTCTCCATGTTGCTCTTGTACAGGTTGAGCAGAAAATGTGTTTGCTCTTCGGTCCATGTCATCTCGGTTTTTATAGTTGGACTCGGACTGTTGATTTGCGAGGATGTTTCATTTTGTGGAATATCAATTGGTAATCCGTAAAACTCAGCAACATCTTCGAACTTAGCATGAACCACTGCATAACCTAAGGAGACAATAAAAATTGAGGAT